ACCCTGAGGACCAATTCTGTACAACTCTAATAAAGCCTCCAGTGTCCTTTCCTTGTCACAGGATCAGAATTTGGGGCCTGTTGCTTCCTGGGCCACATCCTGCCACCTTCAGAGCAGCTTGAACTCACATGTGCTGTTACCATTGTTCCTATCTTATCACTGTTACTTACCTGGGAAGGCCAAAGGAAGGGAGTGGGAGCCAGGGGTGACTCCTTCCATTTGCTTTTACTGCCCTACAGAGTCCCAGCAAAAGGCTGCAGTCTCTAAAGTAAACCATGGTTCAGTCTCAGCGAATAGATAAGACTGAGCCAGGCACTTCTACGTAGACTTCAATTTCCTGTCTGTTACCTGGAGTTAACAGTGATTCACCTTGTAAAAAGAAAGCCAACTCGCCTCTTCCACAGCTATCCTATGGTTATGAGCTGGGTTTCTCAGGAACAGAGAGATCAAGTCTTATGTAGCTCTGCACTTATTAAACAAAAGAGGGGTATTGTCATCTCTGGTTTATCCTTACAAACTCAGCTTCTTCCTTGAGCCTTTTCATTCAGCCACTCTCTGCTTACACAGTTCTGAAGTATCTAAACAAAGAAATGGACAGATTGTTTTTATGCACCATACCCTTCCCTGGTTCTATTATGGCTTTGGAGTAATGGGGGCAAAGACCAATTGTGGCTTCCTTCACATGTGCCCCACATTAAAAGGGGATTGCTCTCATTGATGGTCACCTCTGCCATGACTTCATTTCTTTAGAACCTCATGTCCTATCACAGTGAGACTGGTTGACCATGGGGTCACCAGCTGCTACTGGTGGGTAACTGTTCTAATCGAAATTGAGGTTCACTTGAAGGGAAGGGGTTCCCACAGCAATGCCTGGGCCTGACTCAGAAGGAAGCAGAGAGATTATTGCCCTAAAGTGTGTGTGACTAAGGCAAAAACCTTGACAGAGACCCTCTCCCTTTCTGTCTTATGCCCAGTAAATCCCCTCTCCTTGTGGATAACTTGGATCCCACTGTTACTGAGTCATCTCCTTGGGCTGAAAACCCCACCCACTCTCACTTACACATGGGTCTTGGATCTCATTAACCTTGGGGAGCCTGTCCCCATTGGCTCCCTTTGCTCTTGCCTTTTGCTGTTCATACATGCAGAGGATTTACCTTTCCTTTCAGAGTCCCCACCACTCACTCCGTCATTCGGGACTGACCCTGCCGCCGCCCAGATGTCAGAAAAGCTGGGGTTTCCTTCATGCTTCCCTCTTCACCACAGATCCCGCTGTCCAGGCTGGTTGAGAACAACAAACGTATCCCCATGGAGCAAGTTCCCAACTTCTAGAAACTTGGGAGGTGGGTTGGTAGGCCAATGGTAGCCTACCAGCCCACGAGCCATCTTACCTGGGAGGGTTAGTGTCGTCAACGTCATAGAATCTAGAATCACTTGGGAGATAGGCCTTTGGGAAGGCCTGTAAGGGATTATCTTGATTGCATTAACTGAGGTGGGACGACCTGCCTACTGTGGGTGGCATCATTCCCTGGCTGGACTGCATAAAGTGGAGAAAGGGAGCTGAGCACAAGCATCTGTGGCTCTCTGCGTCCTGACTGTGGATGTGATGACCAGCTACTTCAAGCTCCTGACTGCCACCTTGACTTTGCCACCATGGGGGACTATACCCTTCACCTGGGAGGCAAAATAAATCCTTTCTCCCTTAAATTGCTTGTGGTAGGGAATTTTTATCACAGCAACAGGAAAAGAAACTAAGTCTGTACCCAAGTCTTTTTCTGGGCCCCTGCTGTTCCTGTTCTCTTTTAGCCCACAGGATGGAGACACTCGCCAGGCCTTCACCTTTCTGTTTCTCTCCTCATTGCTCATTCTAAAGGCACAATAGAAAAAAATTAAGTAAAGGTACAATAGGGTGCCCGATGCTTTTAGAAGAGTACCAGATCCTTTCTCATTCTTTCTCAATGTTTGCTGAGTACTCTTAGAGCTAGGCACAGTCCCAGGTGCTGGGTACGTGACCTTCTCCTCTCACAGTGCTTATAGCCACAGGAACGAGCAAGCAAACTGACAGGTAAAGCTGATACATGATAACATGAAAGAGACAAGTAAGGGCTGTGATCAACAGTGACAGTAGGGGTCCTTAAGGACATTTCATTTTAACTAAAACCTGAAGGATGAAGAGGAATCAGACCTGCAGAGCAGAGGAGGAAGAATTAGGCAGCAAGAGAGCCGGGTGGATTTGAGGACAAGGAAGGAGGCCGATGTCACAGTGTCACAGCCCAGTGCAGGGAGGAGTGGCTCTGGATGAGTAAGAGGAGCAAAGAAAACCCAAGGTCTAGGTGGTTATATTACCGACTTTGTTTTGATAACAGATGTAAAGTGTTTTCATTTTTTGTGGTGAAAAAAATCTGTATTTAGAATTACACTACTGCACTGCTTAGATGATCCCAATTTTGTTGGCAACATCCAAGCCATCACAATGAGGAGCCAGACGAACATAGGCTTTCTTCTCTTGGTCAGGTCTGATCAAGGTATTGACCTTGGCCACATCAGTGGTAGAGTTTCTTCACAGCCTGTTTGATCTGGTGCTTTTTGGCCTTGACATCCACAATGAACACAAGTGCGCTGTTGTCCTCTAACTTCTTCATGGCTGACTCAGCGGTCAGGGGGAACTGATGATGGCGTAGTCAAACTTGTTTCTCCCCAGGGCGCTTTTGCGAGGGTACTTGGGCTGCTTCCGGAGCCGCAAGGTCTTGGGTCTCCGGAAGGTGGGTGACGTGCGGATCTTCTTCTTTTTGCGGCTGTGAACGCCTTTCAACAAGGCCTTCTTGGCTTTCAATGCCTTCACTTTGGTTTAAACTTCGGCTTTGGGAGGGGCAGGAGCTTCCTTCTTCGCTTTTGGCGCCATGTTGGCGAAAAAGGCTTCCTAGCCTCGTTCGACGTAAAGAGTTTTAAACAGTGAGGGGAAGCGAGCAACATGAATTTCTGAGAAATACCTACCTTGTGACAGCAGAGCGTGAAAATGTAGGACCTGCCACCTTTTCAGGAGTGTATGGATGGGACAGTGTAACGCCTTACTTTGAGTTTGCCATTTACAGCTGAAGGGAAACAGCCACCTCTGCACCAATGAGGAGTTTTTAGGGAACTGGAGGAGATGTAGCCCAGACATGCTCCCCAACTTGTATGTAGACTCCATTCTTTCTAGGGGTGGTGTGCAGGAGATAAGGAGCAAGAGTGAGGTTCTGGTGGGTGGAAGGTACAGAGGGCTGCTGTCAGGGTAACCAGTGAGGACTCTCAGACAGCCCTTTCCATGTGGCTCATTGTGGAGCTTGGGCCCCAGGATTCTCTTGCACCACAACCTACCCTCTAAATCCACCTTTATTTCCCTAGTGAGTTTTATGCTTTATTCAGTCTAAATCTCCAAAATGTTTCTTGTGTCAGTATCAGAGACCCTATAAGCAATGTGACCAGAGGGTCTGGCCAAGAAGTCTCTCCAGCAACCAGGCTTATGACAGCACTTGTAGGTTACACCTGGCCCAAGTGGAGACATCTACAGAATGCACTCAGAAATATACAAAAAGTGTCAAGAAGCACCTGTCCTTTTCCCATCGCAAAGCGGGGGGGGGGGGGGGGGGGGGGGGGGGGGGGACACGGGACCGGGGGGGGAGCTGGATGGCTTCCAAAGGAGAGGGAAACAGAAAGTGTATCATTTCCAAGGACCTGGGATCCCTTTCACTCACTACTCAGTTCTCACAACCTTTCCAAGTTAATTATTCAGTGCAGCACTCCCCAGAGTCTGCTGCAGCTCTGCTGAGAGGATACCTCCTCAATCCCCGCCACCCCAGCCTCACCTGCAAGGTATTTCAGGAAGCTGTGACTGTGTCCCTAGGCTTTGTTCCTCTCCAGACACTAGAATTCAATTTTCAACTGCTTGACTCTTACTTCCTGGCTACCCCACCAGTGTCTTATAATCAGTGGGTCCCAAACCAATTCATAACCTTCCCCTCGCCTTCCTGATCCTGTTGATGGCATTACCGGTCCTCTGTGCCCTGGCTGGAAGCATCTGAGTCATCATTGACTCATCCTACTCTTACTCTCTGTAGTAAATTAACTGCTGAGTTCTTAGTATCTCTTCCCATGATGTCACTTGAATCTTTCCTTTCCTTATTGCTGCCATCCCTCCTCAGAGCCTGCTGGCCTTACTTCCTCCCCAAGGGAGCATCCCTCTGCACCCATCCCTATTACCAACCCTCCCACTGACTCGAGCATCTTTAAACCCACATCCCTGACATGGATCCCCACTGCTGCCACATTAAATATAAGCTGTCTTTTTGTTTTATAAGTCACCACTCCTTTCCCAATGCTCCATGTTCAAGCTCAACTGACTGATCACTGGTTTGGAGCATGGCCACTTTTCTCCTTTTGACACTACCATAATATTTCAATGGTCTTACAAAAGATAAGATCTTAATGCTAATAAATTCTGCATTTTCTACATTCATGTTATAGCTCTTTAACTGGACATTCCTGTCTTATTTTTCTCACATGTATTTTTGCTTTCTCTAACATTTGGGCAGTTGTACCCACTAAACATTGTTCTAAATGCTTTCCAGATGTAATCTAATTTAGCTCTCCCAAGTCTAGTTGTATGTCCATTTTTACGAATGACAAAACTGGTACAGAAAAGTTGGGTCATGAAATGGGGTTTCATGATGAGGATGCAGCGAAGCCAGCATTGGAATCTGCACTGTGCACAGCCTGCAGAACTCACATTCGCACTCCTAACCACAGGGCCCAGTATAATTTCTGTCACCTGCACTCCTCATAGTCTAGTCTGGATTTAGTTGAACAGAGGCATGTGTTCCCTGGTGGATGGAAATATCAATATGAGTGGTGTGCACTTATGTGCTGGACATCAGGAGCTGCCTGAAGGCGTGCCCTAGGAAGTCAGTGTACAGCTTCAGCGATGACTTCGTGGTATTTTTATCTTAATTCTTCTTTTTTTCTAGTACATGGGCTCCATTGAAGTGCTGAAATCAATGAGGTCACTGGATTTTGGAATGAGAACCCAAGTTACAAGGTAAGAGATGAAAACTGGAGAGTTTATAAGGACTGCAGTTTAAAGTCACCATTGTGAATCCTGCGGGAATCTTACAAACCTTTAAAGTCATTATCCATTTTTACCTATGTGGCTGCTAGGTAGCAATATCCCAAGGTCTTTGTATGACTGGCTTTGTTCCGTCATCTGAAAATTTCTGAACTGTTTCTGAACTGTGTGGAAAAGCATCCGTGTTCCATATGAGAACTAATAAGATGATTCAGTCTACAGAAATAACTGGTTTCCCAGGTACCAAAGTGTTTAAAATTATGCCCGGAAATAGGGCATTTACAGAATCTCCAGTCCATAAAATAGATCAGGCAAGAGCTTTCAACATCAAAAAAGCCCAGCTGTCCCTGTTTATTCGGTCTCTAACATGATTATCTGTCTGGGTAGCTCTTTTCGTGCAATGGCCTGGATGGACCTTTACCCAGGGTGGCCCCATATGACTTAGCAGAAGAAATCAGAATCTCTGCTATGCAGAGCTCAAGTAAGGCAGCAATACAGGGCATGTTCATTAAAGTCAAGTTTAAAACAAGGATGGGAAGAGGGAAACGTGGCTGTGACACTGATAATGGGGAAGCTGTGATGTGAAGGGGCGAGGTAAGGGGATGGATTGACAAATGATTCAGAATGAATGAGGGCATCTATTGTACATGGTACCGAGAGTGTCTCTGAGGCTGACCACAGCACCCACCTGGATCTGGACTGTCAGTCACCTGCTCCAGAGATGAATGTGCCCATGAAGGAGAGAGGATAACTTTTCTGATGTTTGTTTCATGGAATTCTAGATCTAGAAAAGTGTCCTGATATCCAAAAACTTGTTAAAAAGAACTTTATCCCCATTTAGGAGAGTCACAGTACACAGTATTAAGGCCTGTGCTATAGTTTTAAAAACTCCTACTTCATCTCAAAATGTTTTAAGCTTATTTGGACCCAAGTGTGTTTTTCACATAGCATGAATGAACCCACACATCCGTGGGGTTCCATACAACGCACTTTAGGAAATGCTGGCTTGGACTCTGGCTTACCATGCATTCGATTCTGTTTTTCCAAACTTCTCCTCATCGATCTTGGTATTCATCTGGACTCAAACAAAGGACATGTAGTGTGTGTTGTGGGGTGGGGCTGAGGGGGGCACATATGCACATGCTCTTAGCACCTACCTCGGTCCCTGGACCATAGAAGAGGCTCTGTGGATATTTATTGAATACCTGTGTGACTCCACCTCACTTCAGTTCCAGTGTTTGGAGATAGCCACATTTCTCTTTTGTACCTTATTTTTTTAATTCTTTGTGTTAACCTCCAAAAGATGTGGTTTCTAGACCACTTTCCACCCTGATGACTTATTTAGGTCTTACTTCATTTTGATGATCCTTAATCTGAGAAAATCCTTCCTCTAATCTTCCCTACTAATGGCAGGAAGAGGGTTGGTGCCTGGGATGTGTGCACAGGACTGTGCCAACCTGAGCCCTATAATCTGAATGTGCTCCCCCCCTCCCCATTCAAATGCTGAAGCCTAATTGACCATGTAGCAGTTTTAAGGTGACACCTTTGGAGGTGATTAAGTCACAAAGGCAAAGCTCTCATACATGGGATTGGTGCTTTTGTAAAAGGTTCGGGAGCTGTTAGCCCCTTCTCCCAAGTGAAGATACAGCAAGTGGCTCTCATCTGTGAAAGAAATGAGACTTTGCCAGACACTGAACATGCTGGCAGCTTGATCTTAAACTTCCAGGCTTCCAGGACTGTAAGAAATAAGTTTCTCTGATTTATAAATTTCTCACTTTAATGTATTTGTTACAGAAGCAGGAGCAGACATGACAGGAGAAAAATTCATTTTCTGTCCTTTCGTCTCTTATTCATTGACTCATTCTCTTTCACTAAAGTATTTTTAGAGGGCCCACTAAATGCCTGAAGCTGTTCAAGAATTATAGGTCCAGCATAAGTAAGACAAACTACCTGCCTGCATGGAACTTAATTCATGAGCTTCCACCCTTAACTGAGGAGTTCTGGGCAATTGATGGCTTCTGGGAGAAGGACAGTCAGTTTTTTCTTTAAGGGTGTGACCCCTGTTAAGTGGACCACAGTGGATGATGCCACACCCAGGAGTATATACTAGCACAAATTGGAGTCAATGGGTTATTAAATTTAAAAGAGAAAAATGAGGTTATGAAGCCGAGGGTAGGAGGTAGGGAGGTAGAGGTGGATCTGGGCTGAATTAAGAGGAGTTAAGGGTGAATATGATCAAAATATATTGTATGAAATTATCAAAGGATTAATAAAAATATTATTTAAAAAAAAAGAAAATAAAGCTAAGTGTGGCGGTGCATACCTTTAATTCCATCACTTAGGAGGCAGAGGCAGGTTGGATTAGTGAGTTCAATGTCAGCTTGGTCTACATAGTGAGTTCCAGGCCAGTCAGGGCTGCATAGTCAGGCCCTGTCTCAAAAAAAGAATATACATATATATATATATATATTATATATATGAAATACTATATATATAGATGGTACACTTTCAGATAGCAGTAGGTACTATGCTGTAATAATCACGCTCAATAGAGAACAGAGGTGAAGGCAGTGGGGCTTTTAAGTTTGATTTTGTTTCCTAGTTATACAAACATTAAATGTTTACTAGAACATTTAGAAATATAGAAAAGACTTTTATCATCCCTAGGAGATAATAGCTACTCTACATTTTTTGTTTTAGAACGTCTTTCTAGTCTTTTATTCTACACCCGTGTTTGCAATCATTTTTACAGAAAGCATAACCAATATTGTCTGCTATTTCTAGCATACTGAACATTTTCCTGTTGTTCCCATCTTTTATTGTGGTTAAACGAAATTTGCCATTTTAACCATTTTTAAGTTCAGGGAATGTATGTTGATTCACTCTGTTGTATAACCATCATAGCATCCACCCCCAGAATGTATTCATCTCTCCAGACTAACATCCTGTTCCCATTAAACACCAACTCCCCAATCCCTTCCTTCCTCTTCCCCACTCAACCTGTCAACCACCAGTCTACTTTCTATCTCTAGGACCTTGAAGTAGTTCAAACAAATTAAATAGCTGAAAAGTTTTTGATCTGTATTGCTTGGTTGCTCTGAATAGTATAGTTTATATCCTTTCTTCCTAACCATATATTATCTCAAAAAGTATTCTAAAGACTGGCTACTTGGCCTAATATCTACAAGGTCCTTCGAGTCCCAGCACTAACAAAAAACAAACAGCAGCAGCAACAACAAAAACCTTTACAAACTTGTGTGCCTATGCTTCCTATTTTCTAGAAAATAGTAGAAGACCACCCCCCTCTCTCCACACCTCTGTCATGAGCTAACTCATGACGACTAATGTACACAAAGAAGGGCTGGTGTATGGCTTGCTCTCAGGACATTACTCCTTGCAGATATGTCTGTATGTCATTCAGGCATGACAGACTGTGTTTTGAACAGATTCTTTTTCTATTTGGCAGTTCACCAAACTTCTCTAAGAAGAAACTAGAGTTAGCATTTGAATGAAGTGAGAGGGTTACCTGGTAGAAGACAGCACAATGCTAGCATTTGGGTAGGCACATTGGCAAGAGGTAACAGACTGTGTATCTCCTCTCAAGAAATGAAAAACATCTAGTATACACCAATCCAGGAAAAGAAAGGCAGGCTGCAAGGAAGGTTTCTGTTTTATGATGACCTTTGGTGCCAAGTGATCATACTTGAAGTCAAGACACTGCCATTATTAGTAGCTTGGTAAGCTTATTCTCAAAAATCCAAACTAACTGAATGAAAAATTACAATTGAGGAATTCATCTCTAGATTCCTTCAATTAGTGAATTCTTTGCCAGTGTTTCAGAAAATAATCAGTATACAAAAAAAATTATTCCTGAAGACAGCTGCCATTACTCTTGGTTTCCCGCCAGAACTAGACAGTAAGACCCTATTACTGAAGTTACAACATACTCCAGGTACATCACACAGATAAATAAAGCTAGAGCTGAGCTGGAAGCTTCCTTTCCAATGGCTAGCAGTCATAGTGTCAGATGGTGCTGGGAGAGGAAAGGCATCAATGATCTTTTTCAACTATGAACCCTGTGTACTGCAGTACTGACCTGCTAGGCAAGATGTGTCCACTGATGTGATAGTGGCATGACTGTGCCTGGGGGTAACCAACTACTTTCTGATTGGATTTGAGGCCCACTCCATGAGACATAATATATACCTGGTACTGTAAACCTGGTTAAAAAAATAAAAGCCCTGTGGCTGAGGAGGTCACAGGCCCTGGGAGGAGCTTACAACTGATATTATACTAAATGCATATGTACCAAACTGTCTTCTAAATATTGATATTTTTACCTTTGACTGGCACTGCTCTTGGCCTTGGCCAGAGAAACTTCTTTTTGCAATGGTTGATACAAATACTGAAAATCAGTAACTGTTGAGTGTTCATCCCTAAACAGGCATCTCTATCACTCCCTCTAAGACCCAGAAAACATTGCTGATGAGGTCATAAAGATTCTGAGAGCTAGAGGATAGAGAGGAGTGCTATGAAGTGCTGTGTTCTGGAAATATGACTGATCTAATCATGAACATGCAGCAGCTGTGGGATCTGCATAAGACCTGTATAAAATAATATGAACATAGGAAGGGGGTTAGCTTGAAAGAGGAGGTCAGCAGAAGTGGGAGGAGGATATGAGAAGGCACTAGGGGGTGAACTGTTCACAGTACATTGTGAGACTGTTAAAGATTAAATAAAATGTTTTGCCCGATGTGATAGTATATGCCTTTAATCCCAATACTAGGGAGGCAGAGGTAAGCTGATCTCTTTGAATTTGAGGCCAGCCTGGTCTACATAGTGAGACCATGTCTAAGAAAATGTTTTAAATATAGTTTTACATTTTTCCAAGAGCTCACATATTATAGAAAGTGAGTGTAATTTTTTGAAACTCTCCCTTGAAATTGAGGTCTTGTGGGGTAGTCTCCATGTGA